TATATATATATATATATATATATATATATATATATATATATATATGTGTAGGAGTGTGTGGCCCACTATTAAAATTATGGGAATGGCGTTATCACACTGATTTAAGATGTATGTATAATTAATATTTTCGTCAAATATCAAATCTTCACATAAGCTAGAAATCCAAGTACAATTTTAAAGCAATTAATCCATTTTTATATGTATTCTTTGTTATTTTTTTTTAATATGGCGACCTATACTGTTTGCACGCATCAAACACGAGAGAGAATTATTATGTTGCAAGATTAGTAAAAGGGTAATCTTGGATTATTATGTTGTAGGAGGATTTCGGGAATCATGGATCGGATGATTTTGAGTTAGAACATAATATAAAATATAATTATTTCGAAAAAGGACGAAAGAAATAAATTTAACAAATACTATATATATATTTTGTTCACAATACAAACTTGGAGGCCCATACAGCCTTTGTAAACCAGAACAACAAAGAAGGCCCATCTGCGAAGTCTTCGTTGGGTATACAAAGTTAATAAAAGATTCAATATATATGTAATATATCCAATAAATATTTCTGAAACTATCATGTGAATCTTTTTTTTTTATTGGTGGTGAAACATGTCTCTTATCTAAGCTGACAATTATATATATATATATATATATATGAATAAATGTAACCCCTCGTCATGGCCCTGGAAGAGCAGGGAAACAGAAACAGCCACGTGGATGATCGGGAGGGATCATTCCGCCGCCTTTGGATGTGTCCACGGCCTCCAACATGGCCACCACCTCTTCCATCTCCGGCCTCTTCTCTGGATTCGCGTCCCAGCACCTCTTCATCACGTGACCCAACTTGCTCGGACAGCACCTCGGTATCTCTGGCCTCACATTCTGTCCAATGTCCATCATACCCACGTTTCATTCTCATTCTCATTTTATCCATAGCCATATATCATAATAAGGCTTGAACCGCAAGTAAGACAGAAGGTACATTCATGATATATATGTGTATATATATATATATATATACCTGTCGGGCCACGGCCGAGGAGACTTCGGAGAAGCTGAGATCAGGATAAGGCATGTCGCAACAGTATATCTCCCATAAGCATATCCCGAAGCTGTACACATCGCACTTTCTGTTGTACGGATTCCCGTTTAGAACCTGATCGTTTGTGTTTTTTTCCAATTAACACAGCCATCGAATAGAGAGAAAAAAAAAGGGTTAATCGATCAATGATGTGTTGTTCATACACTGACCATACAATAAGATCATGAGAATTAATTAAGAAAAGTAATGGAGTACCTCGGGTGCCATGTAACCCAACGTTCCGGTCTCACCGGTCATTTCGTTGGGATCGGAAGCCTCGCGCCGTGCCACACCAAAGTCGGCGATTTTGACGGTACGAGTCTTGTCCAAAAGCATGTTTTCAGTTTTGACGTCTCTATGGACTATCTTCTTCGAGTGAAGGTAGCTCAACCTATGAGAAAATTCAATGAGAAAACGGGTTCAAACCCATGAACCAAGACATCAAAATCTACATAGTGAGATCTAGATTAGTATCACACTCCAATAACATTTTATTAATACACTATATTTTTTTTCTTCGTATTATTAGCATCTCAGTAATAAATTTTTCTAGATACGCCACTTGATTTATGCATGGTTCGTTATATTGAAAAAATGTAAATGCACAAACCACGCTGATCAGATATCGACAAAAAAACATAAAGCAAGGAAGCTAGCAAGCAAAACTAAGTGTATGAGTTTGTATACGCATGACCACGTATATTTGTATGTTTGCGCGTATGCATATGATTGCAAATACTTGTATATATGGAAATAAATACCCTCGGGCGAGATCAAGGGCAAGCTGGATGACAATTTTGAAAGCGAGTTTGCGGCGATGGCTCTTGATGAGGTAAGACTTGAGCGTGCCGCCAGGACAGTACTCCACGACAACGCAATACATATTGCTCGGTAATCTCATTTGTCCATTCTCTGTCTGTATTTTCAACTCTGATGTCCCAATCATCGCTCCTATGAACTTGGCCACCGACCACAAAAAGAAAAACAAATGATACAAAGTTTCTTTGGAACAATAGTATTTGCACCCAAAAATCTCTGGAGTTATGGATGGAATCCATATCTTTGGTGAATTAGTACCCGTACCACTAGGCCACAAGTCCTGCCATCAAGAGGCATAATACTTGTGGTCGCGTGTATGTGTATATATGTACCTTGGTTACGTTGGGATGGTCGAGCTTGTGCCAAACAGTAACTTCTTTAGTGAAAGAAGCAATTAGGTAAGATATCTCAGCGGCTGACCTGTGATTCTCTTCTCCCCGATCAAGCAGTTTAACTGTTTCCACGTTTATACATTTTCATTCGATCGACATCACAAGTAATTAATAAATTGAATTCCAAATATGCACTGAAATATTAAGCAATGGATTCATTACTCTCGATAAATCCCCATAAATGTCATTAATTAATAGTAATATTCTGTTGGTGGATCGATCTCTCCCCAATCATTCAAGCAAAAGATTTACAGTCGGCTATCTAAAATGGACGTGATCCAATCATTGAACTCTCAATTAACATAGGACATGTATATATGTGAAACCTAGTACATGCCTTGCATAGTTACATGTACTACTTTCTACGGAAAAACATAGGACATGTGCACTGAGTAAACCTTGTACTTATTTTTCCGAAAAAAGAAAGGAATATTCCAAAATAATTCCAGAACTTTTCTATTTTTACAAAATAAAATCTAAACTTTGTTTTTTATCAAATAAAATTTCAATTTCATTTTCAGTAAAAAAATAAATCTCAACTTTATAATCTTTGTCATTTTTAACCTTATTGTTGACGTGGCGTTTCGACATCCTACGTGACAAATCAACACTTTGATTTTATTTGACACATCATCATCTACGTGTCACAATATCGGAACGTCACATTAGTAATAAGGTTAAAAATTACAAAGATTATAAAATTCAGGTTTATTTTTTACTGAAAAATGAAGTTAGAAGTTAGGATTTTATTTGATAAAAACAAAGTTTAAGTTTTATTTTGTGAAAATTGAAAAGTTCAGATATTATTTTGGAATTTAAAAAAAAACAATAAGATTTTGAAAAGTGGGTTTTACTTTTCAGCCAAAAGGGTATAAAAGAAACGAAATATCTTTGGGTTAAAAGCCCAAAAAGAAAAAACAAAATTTCCTATTTGAGAGAGAAGAGAGTAGTACCGGCAACATCTTGGCCGTCGTAAACGCCGCGGTGAACAGTACTAAACGTGCCACGAGCAATTGCGCTTTTGATGATGAGCTTAGAAGGATCAATCTCCCACTCTCGCCTTCTCACCGCCGTCTTATCCCGAGATTCGGCTCCGACAGGCCTCCGCAACATCGCCTGCCCATGTTGGTAGAACCGGTTGGTGCCGGTGTTGCCTTCGTCTCCCTCTGTCTTCTTCTCCATCGTCCATGCTCTGTCCAGATGCCTCTTCAACTGCGCATCCAAACTCCTCAGGTCTATCCGGTCCGCTCTCACGTACCTTTCTCCTCCATTCTCAGTACGGCCGTCCATTTTCCGACATAGCAAGAATCAAGAATCCGAGAAAAAGGAAGAATCGAAATGGGCTTTTTGCTCTCCAGAAATGGGTTTCAGTTTTGTTTCTCCTCGGCCAAGGATGTGCCATTATTTATAGACCGGTCGACCGTACGTATGACCGGACTGCTATGAGTAAAGGAGAAGTGGGGTTGCGGGGTGAGAACACTTCTGTTTCTGGGGCCATCCAGATTTTTTTTTTTTTGGAACGAAGTTTACACGTGACCATATGGACTCTGCCTCGTATGACGTGTGTCGTCTCCATCCCACAGTTTCTATAATTACCATATATTAAGTTTTGTTATTACTAAAACACTAATCCGTAAAGCCTAAAATATGCGCGTCTTAATTAAAATAATGTCCATAATTACATCATATATTTATATTTTTAAATTTTGTCGCTGCCTACTGAAATTCTCTCAAGGCATTAAATATATAATATTTTTGTGTTTTCAGCTGCTTGAAGTAACTTATATATTTTACTCCAAATTATCGATGTATTTAATATCTTAGCTAATATGTATTTGAAATCACATATTATGACGAAATTGTAAGTCATTAAACCATGCTTTTTTACTTTGATTGCTGGTCAAAGCCTTCAGTTGATTGTTTCTTATATAACTAAATGCCAGTATCATTTCACAACATCTTATTCCAAATGATTAAAAATATTGGTATATATTTTGCGTGAAACAAACTATATTAGTACAGTCGAGATGCTAACCTTTTTTATAACTAAATGCTAATAGCTATTTTTTGTCGTCGAATCTGTTTAGTTTTTTTACTCTTTTTTTTATTTATTTATAACCGAGCATCTGGACCGAAGTTCAGACTAACATCGGATACGGAAGCTAGCCATATAATTTGAATTATATGCTTTTTTCCCAACTTGAGGTTCGAATTCAGAGCGACACAGACGTTTCCATTTCCATTTCACCGTTTGATCTATCCAAATTGGGTATACATATTATATTCTCCAATATTCCCACTAATAAAGCTTTGCTGTCAATTTTCTTTTACATAAATTATATTTCAAGACCCGTGGTAAAGAAGTGCTAAAATTTCATAGATAAATTATATTAAAATGATCTACTCACGTATATTTCTAAATATACAATAGTTAAATATTGTATTCAGTTTATCATCATTTGGCAAGCAGACAATATCGCCTGTGGTTTAATTTGGTCAATAAATAAGTTAACTGCGTATATTTACACACTCGAAGACAGCCGACAAAGAAACAATATAAGACTGTGGTTTGTTTTAACGATACCATATGATAGTTATTTATTTATTTTGGTAAAATCTATGCGATATATAGTTATTCTTTATAGATATACCCCGGAAAACGTGTGCCTAAAGTGGTGAAACATTTTATTTTTTATTTTTGTTTTAGTCGGGTCGCACTAGCTTTCGTTAGAAAAAAAAAAAGAAAGAAAGAAAATAGTTGGGTCGTTATAAGGAGGGAAAATGAGCAAACATATGAAATTAACTTAATTCATTGATTTCCCTTGTGCTTACTTTTTACTCTTTTTTTTAGATTATAATATATATATATAATATTGCATTACTCTGAAAGCCGTTTCTGATGTGCATCAACATGCACGTGAAATTGTTGACCGCCTTAGGGGGGAAGGAAACGACCGAAGAGGAGTCGAGAAGTTTGCATGGGGACTACAAACAGATAACCTATACGACGTTTTCGTGACATGGGTCCGAATAAAAGGTTAGATCACTAGCAAGTAGCAAGCCCTTATCCGTTGCCAAGAGCCAATCCCTCATATATATGTACGTATGCACGACAAATTGTAGTCCCACGGTTTCTGATTTCATTCTTTTTGGTTGTTTTGTATATTAACTGTATATATATATATATAATAGTTAACTTATGCGTTATTTCGACAAAACTGTGGGTATTCAGAAAACCATTTTGGCGATTATATATGTGTTTTTTAATTAATAATAGCTTCAAATTAACATTAACTTGGAGGTGTTGTGTGATAATATTAACGTGTTATGTATCTGGAAGAAATTCAAATGAAAAGTACCGTTTTTTTTATAACGTTTTGAGTTATAAAAATATTCAAATTCCTACAATAAGTATAATATTTGAGATCGAAACAGTCCGTTTATTAGTCATCTAAACGTTGAAACAATCCCTTAAAAAAATATTTATGTTTGATGGACGAACAAAACAAAGCTACGTCTGTTCACGCGCCAGGTTTCCTGGTTTGCCAAAATCACTGGACTATATACATATATATATATATATAAGGGAAAATAATACTTTCCTACACGAAATTAGCTAAATGTTTAATTTGACAAAAAACTACACTTGAATTCAAAATTTTTCAAATATTTATACAAATTGTTAAAATTAACAGTAATTATATCTACGTCATCATTTTTCTTAAAAAATTTTAGATTCTATTAACTAATGCATTAGTTAGGTAATCAGTGTAACTACTATGCATGTCAACGTATTAGTTAACAGAGTTCGAAAATTTTTAACGAAAATAATAATTATATATAATTATTATTAATTTTAACAAATATTTGAAAAATTTTGAATTTAAGTGTAGTTTTTCGTCAAATTAAAAAAAAAGATGTATATAAAAATATCACATTTAGCTAATTTTGTGTTCTCTATATATAAATATGTTGTGCGCGTATAGTTGTGCTTGCATGACGGCCCATACTTTCAAGAGAAAGTTATGGGCCTATTTTGCAACTGGGCCACTTTCTAAGATACATTTTTTGGTGTTGTTTTCTATAATCAAAATAAATATGCCTCAAGAAATAATACAATGGACCCGATGAGGCCCACATGCTCTAAAGCTTTTCTGTTCTCCGAAAGCAAAAAAAAAAAAAGAATAAAAATTATCCGCAAAATTCGTGGAAGGAAGAGATAAAGAAGTTATTTTGGCCATTAGTGGGAAATTCCGTACACATGATTGATGGTTTGATTACCATACAGACATGATTACATACCATTTTTTCTTTAATGTTTGCCCAACTCGAGAGAAAGAGGAATACCAAAAAAAAAAAAAAAAAATCGAGAGAAAGAGAGAGGACTTTTTAGTATTTTTTATTATTACGGGCCCACGTCGAAGACTTTTTATTAAGCCTTTTATGGGTAAAGTTTACCGGTACTGAGGAGCCAATTCACCGTCTTTGACGATGTAATTCTGAGCAGGGAAGTCTTCTCCCTTGAAGTACCTCTCCAGCATGTCTCTTGTCCCCGCCGCATACCGTATCTGGGCATCAATGGTGGTGCCGGAGATGTGAGGAGTCATGGCGTGGTTGGGCATGTACCTCCACGGATGGTCCTTTGGAGCTGGCTGTGGGTCCCACACGTCGCCGCTGTAGCCACCGATGTGACCGCTCTCCACCGCTTCCACCACCGCCTGCCTGTCCATGATGGCTCCCCGAGCGTTGTTCACTATCAGCACCCCTCTCTTCATCTTCCCTATCATCTCTTTGTTGAACATCCCCCTGTCTCAAGCCCTTTCATTCATCACACAATGTGTCTGGACAAAAAAAAAACAACTGATCAGAGGAGATGTCATGTTGTGTTATGCACCTTGTCTTCTCAGTGAGAGGAGTGTTGACGACAATGACGTCGCACTTTGGGAGCATTTCATTGAGATCCTCCTCGTACTTTGCTCCGAGAAGGCTCTCCATCTCGGTCTCCATCTTAAGACGGTCATGGTACAAGAGGTTACAGCCAAAGGGCTTCAACCGCTGAAGCAGAAGCCTCCCTATTCTTCCGGCCCCGACAGTTCCAATGGTCTTCCCTTCGAGATCGTACGCTCTATAGGCGATGCCAGCCACGTTCCATTCTCCGTTGATGACCTGATGGTACCCGGGCAAGAAGTTACGCATGAGGATGAGGATCCTCATGAGCTCGTCTTCTGCAACCGATACCACGTTGCTTCCGGTGACTTCGGCCACAGTCAGGCCTGCAGCCGCCGCAGCGTTCAGGTCGATGTGGTCAGAGCCGATGCCGGCTGGGGGGGGGAGGTTCAGGTTCTTGGCTTTCTTGATTCTTTCGGCGGTCATGTAGGCGGGTGCCGGCTGTGAGGAGAAGCTTCAGGTTCTTGGCTTTCTTGATTCTTTCGGCGGTCATGTAGGCGGGGTGGAAGGGGGTCGATATCAGGACGTGAAGATCCGGGATATGTTTTTCGAGCTCTGCAAAAAAATAGGAGAGTAGTGGCATTGTCAAAATGTGATGATATCCGGGACAAGAGATTCTACTGTTGCATACTTACCGGAGTGCGGGCCTTCTTTGTCGTCGGTGACAATGTACTGATGGCCTTGTGATTCCAGCCACTCACGGATTCCTAACGCATTCTCGACGCACCCAAGGAAATTAGGGTTCTTCGCAGCATATTCCTTGGCCTTGTAGAAAACTCCAACAATCTTCTGGCTATCACCGGAGGAAGCCTGTTTCGCATTAATTAAAAAAAGAATGAAAACATTACACTTACCAAAAGGATATAGAAAATGGATAGAAATTAAGAAAATGTCCTTTTGAAGAATCAAGCGTATATACGTTCAAACACATACATTAATATGCATTAAGAATTTTCCCATTATACTCGAATAAATTACATGTTACAGATATGCATGTCTCGTAGAGCTTACTTCTTCGGTACATAGGATCCGTATGCTATCCATAAACCATGCTTTAATTTTATAATTTGAATGAAAAAGATCACCAGGCTCACATGAAGGCCTCAAATGGCCCAAAATTAAGAATTCCGGCCCTATCTAAATTACGAAAGAACGGCAAGAAGTCGACCCAAAAAAAAGAAGAATTCCGGAAATCGTGTCGTTCAACAGTTATAGACAGAGACTACGTGTAGTTCTAGATTTCGGAAGCGGACAACGCGTGAACGTCCCTTCCTAGGTCCTAATATCAGTTACACGTCTCAGTCATGCACCACCTGATCTGATTCGGAAAAAAAAAAGCTTTTCATATTTTCATCACGCTTCGGAATAAAACATCCCGAGGATCCACGCAAACGAAGTTTCCAACTCTAGTTACCGAGTCATGCATGTTAACAATACTCAATCTCAGCCGTCCATATTCGGCCATCTACGGTCAGAAATAGCAGATAAAACCATCGCAAAAACAAGGGGAGCAAAAAGAAAGCGGAATATAGGAAATTTAGCAAGACGAAAGATAAATAGAGCTCCATAATTTTGATTAATTTCATCTCAACGATTAACTTAAAGCCTCGCGGAAAACTGCAAAATAGAGCTCAATCGAGCACGATTTCTTCACCGACCACTTAATCAGCTTGCGAAAACCGCAATTAGCCAACAAAAAACCCCTTGATTAACAGACTAAACCTCAAGAGAGAGAGAGAGAGAGCATCCAGCGATTTTTTTTTTACTTACATGAAGCTGACGCGCGAGGTACGCGGACGATGGGGTCGAAGAAGAGGAAGAGGAAACCAAGGATTTGATCGCTGCTCGCATCGCCATCGGA